AGGTCCCTTCCGACCCTAGAAACTATGAAACCATGAAACCAGGGATCCAGGTTTTCCATTTACCGTGGAGACATGGAAGAACCCATGGATTTTCCCTTGGAGTGAGAAAAACACAGATTTTTCATTTTAACAGAGAAACACATGGGGTTTCCACTATTGCAAAGATCTCTCTGCAGGCTAGCAGAATTCCCACCTGCAAGGGGCTGGAGAGAAAGGGAGAAGGACAGTGAGGCAAGGGGCTCCATGTGCATGTGTACACCCACCATGCACATGGCTAGCAGGTAGCCTGGAGAGCAGCTTCTGTAGGTAAGTCTGGTGGGGTGGGGAGAAGGATTGAGGCCACCTTAGAGTGGGAGGGATGGAGAGAGTGATTTGGGCAGGGCTGGGATTGGGGTCGGGGGTACTGCCCAGCCTGGGCGGTTGGTGGGGCTTGGGGCCTGGGGTTATGCATGGCCACAGGACACGGGCAGGGAGCAGGACAGGGCCATGGGCTTCTTGTCCAGGGCAGGGGGGGATGGGGCTGGCACCCCACTGCTGCTTGCATGCCAGGAAGGGCATGTGCCCCACAGATTTGTGCGTGGGGTGGGTGTGGGCTGCCGACTGTGGGCTCAGGCTCTATACCCTGCTGCCCCCCAGGGCCTCCACAGCCCAGTGGGCAAGACCTGGCACAGCAAGTCCTGTGCTGCCCTGACGAAGCACCCCCCAGCCCACCTGGCAGCAGCAGGGGTGGCAGCTCGGAGTTCTGCCCCTTGCTGCTCCTGGATGGGCCAGGGGCACTTTGCCAGGGTGGTGCAGAGCTACAAGCAGTGGCAATGAGCTTCCCCAGCCAGGCCCGCTCAGCTCTGCTGCACTGGGTCCTGCCCACTGGGCTGCAGAGGCACTGGGAAGAGGGCAACAGGGTGGAGAGCTGTCTGGGCCACCCCCCGTGGACAGCCCACTCTGGCTATGCTGCCTGTGTGGGAAGGGGAGCTAGGCTCCATACTCTGCTCAGCTGTAGTAGTTGCCTCCTCCCATGCGTGGCAACTGGGGCTCAAGCACTGCCGTGGGGATATGGGGGGACAGGCTTCAGGCCCAGG